GGAGGACGAGGAGGAGGAGGAGGAGGAATGGAGCGGGAGCTACCAGCCCTTGACCGTGGAGCAGGCCCATCTCACCACCGCCGGCCTCGCCTCGCCCTCCGCCGGCTCCTTCTTCTGCGAGGGGCTGGCAGGGAGCGAGGACCCGAGCGTAGCATCCCTCGGAGCCCCGCCGGGGCCGGGCTTTCACTCCCTGCAGCAGCCCAGCTACGAGGAGGTAAGCACCTCGGCTGAGCTCCCGGCACCTTTCTCAGGGCAGACACAAACGCCACCTGCGGGCTCCATCTTCTGTCAAGTGAGCTCTGAGCTGCTTGTGTATCAGGTTGTTAGAGAAGCTTGGTGTCAGCCTCCAGTGTTACTAAAGTGTGCTGTCAGCAAAGGCTGTGCCACACGTGGCAGCGTGTTGTTAGAGATGCTTGTGGAACAGAAGTAGGTCTGAAAAATTGCTCTACAGCATGTGTCAGATTGGGTACCTTGTCTGTCCTACTGCTTTTGGCATGACCCAGGGGTGACTTCCTTATGCTCTTCCCCCTGGGGTCATATTAATTTAAAAATAACAGCGTTTGATTAATCACATCTGCACTGGTTGCTTGGTGCCACGTTTCTGTGCCCCACAGGGTTAGTGAAGTTAAATGGTTTTGAGAGGGGAAAACTAGCTGGAATGTAATAGAAAGCGCAAGACTTTCCAGCACTGGAGTTAAAGCTAAATATTTCTTCTGATACTGGTCTTGGAGTGCTGTGTTGTTGTGAAACCACACCCTCATTTCTAATGAGAGTTTTTATTTTTTAGCTAAAAGAAGAGAATGCCAGTTTGAGAAGCAAGATCAATAAGCTTCAGATTTTCTCTGAAACTCAAGCAGACAAGTGCGTAAGCCACAGTATGGGGGAAAGTAACCACATAAGCAAGGAGTTGTCTTAGAAGAGGTGCTCACTGGAAACAGTCAACGTCTTTAAAGAAGAAAAATGTAGTTGAAATCTATGCTATTTATTAAAAAGCTTTAACAAACCTGGTTTTCTTATTGAAAAAGGCTTGGAAAGTAAGTAGCAAGCTGACATCTGATGAGTGTGTTTGTGTGGCTTACGCTTCCTGCAGTTTAGGTGGTTAGTGAAAATGAGGGTAGGGCTTGACAGGATCCATTTCATAAAGATTCGGATTAACAAAATAACAAATCTTAATCTCTCTCCTTTGAAGCAAGAAAAGCATTTTTATTTTTACTTGTGAGCAACTTGATATTGAGAGACTTGAATTTCCTGAGGTTAAACAGCCCAGTGACTGATCTAGGGTGGCAATTTCTTAAGGTCCTGTCAGAATCCTCTGTGCTTCACTGCTCTGTGCAGTGAGGCAGCTGGTACTTCTATGGTGATGGGGTAACCGTTTGTTTCAGAATTACCCTTATCTCAGCTGATTGTGAACAGCCATGTTTTCTGTCTGGCCTTTCTGCATTCAGCTGTATAGTTCCCGTTAATGCTAATGGATGTTGAACAAAGAAATCCCCTGAGCCACAGCCTAGAAGTGTACTTCTGTGGGAAGATGTAATTTTTCTGATAACATGAAAGAATGAGTTTCTTGATCCTTCCCCAGAATTTTCTTACTAAGATATTTAATGTTACAAGTGCTTGCTGAACATTGTCTCCTGTTTTTTAAGGATGAGGAAGCTTGAAAAAAAGCTTGAGGAAAACAAAATTAAAGAAGAAAAAGAAGCACAGGATTTGGAAGCAATGGTGCAGCACGTGGAACAAAATCTCCAGCTGATGACTGTAAGTGTTGGCATTTGACATAGCAGCAGAAGCTTGTTTGAAGTTTCTCTAGTTCCGTTCCTTTTCCTTCCTCCTTCAGGAGAGTGAGGGAAGGTGAAGTGATTGCTTCACCCTTGTGAGCACTAAACAGCTCTGCCATGGGTTCACTTTCTTCCCTTATCACAAGACTGCGTCTCAGTCCAGAGCTCCTTTCATTGCCTAGAATAAGGGAGGTCTTTGCAGAAATACCATTTTTGGATTCATCAACATCTTCAATTGCTTTTTTGCAGCCTTCTGAAAACACCTCACCACAACAACTAAGAGTTGTTTTTCCTGCTTGCTTATTTATACCGAGTACCTTTTCCTCTTGCCCACGAACAAAATTTAGTGGCTAGATGTGATGGACTGCACTTGAAGATAATAGAAAGGAAAACTGGGGAGGAAACAGCTGATCAGATGGGCTAGGGGCACAATCCCCATCTTGGAACATGAGGTGGTATAACACAAACCACATCAAGTTCTGTGCTGGAATCACATGTTCCTACGTAGCTCAAACTGCCTGCTGCATCCTAAGCACTGCTGTGATCTTTAAATGATCTTTATTCTATTTCAGAAACGGGCTGTTAGAGCAGAAAACAGTGCTACAAAACTGAAACAGGAAAACGCGTTACTTCAGGTACGAAGCAGCATTCTTAAGGCCTTGCTGAATGTATTGAGAGCAAAAGCATACACCTTAAAATTGAGCCTAGAAAAAGGATATTGAAAAATTCCAACTATGCCTTCACTTTTCTTAGTGAATGCTATAGAAAGTATGCTAGACTAGAACGCTTCAGCTCTACACAGACTGTTAACTTTGTCTGTGGGGTGTGTGGTACTTCACTTAAAATTTTGCTGAAGTTTGATGTGATGTTCAAATGCTGTTCGATATTTGGGACCTATGAACGCCGTAATGCACCAGGGTGTTTGGCTGTAGGATGGTGCCTGACAATGCTGCGTGCATTTTCAGTTTTAATAGAGACTTCCACGTTGTTTTCTGTCAGAGACTGCTCCCCAGAGCTGGGAAGATGTTCTCTCTAGGCAGTCTGGTTACAGGATCTATTACTTAGTTGCTGTAATACATTGCTGTCCAAATGTATTCATTAGTTTAATTGTAAAGTATCTACTGGAGTTTTGTGGTTATTTTCGTATGAAGTTTTTGTCTGCTTCCTCCCTAGGTTCAGCTGAAGAATTACAAGACAGAGAATGAAGCTTTGAGGCTGGGCCAGTCGGCAAGTCTGGCCGCGGTGAAACAAAACGCAGACATCGCCTTACAGAACCTTCTCACGGTTATAACAAACTCCCGCTCTTCAATAAAGTGAGTTGTTTTGAGATCACTCTCCTAACACTATCCCCAATGCTTGTCTAATTACTACAGCTAAATGTCCCCAGTGGGGTTTTAGGATTGAAACTCTTGATTCTTACATTCTGTACAGCAGATCAGCTAGTCCATGTTCTTACCTGCTACGTATTTTCCTCCAAGTTTAGGTAATAAATATAACTAGAATGTCCAAGTTGTTTTTTTTTTTAACTTAATGTAAAGCCATTATACTTAGACTCTCTAAGTCTCTTATATTTCTCTTCAAGAAGTGAAATCTTCAGTCTAGATGAATTGCTTCTTGAAAAAATGTCATTGTGTGGGTAACCACCACACAGCGCTGCTTTATCCTGTCCTCAGCCTAATGCTGTGCCTCTCCCGCCTTCCAGGCAGCTGGTCTCCGGAGCAGAATCGCTGCAGCTCGTTGCTGATCTCCTTAAATCAATAGACAGAATTTCTGAAATGTCAGAAGATGGACAGTAAAGCTGCAAAAGGGACTCAAACCGAGAAGTTTGCTTTCATGCAGAAATCGTTACTTAAAAGTTACTTTCCGATACTCAACCTGGTTACGATGTGCAAAGCTGCTGTGGAACTGGCTTCTCCATCTCCACCTGTTGGGCAGACACAGCCGCCGGGTTGCTAAAACCTGAAT